TTCGTTTCCTCCAGGTATTTGGAAACAGCTCGGAAGTGTTCTTCATATTTCGTCTGAACTTTAGTTTCGTGGATGTTCCCCTTAATAAGCGGAACAACATGAAAATTTTCGTCCCCGACCAGCGCAACAATTTTGTTGACCAGGGCGTTTGAGCTTTTTTTTTTTTCCTAATGTAGATAGGTGGGGGCTTTGGTTTCTTTTGGGTCACTTGCTCCGGCTCAGGTTGGCTCTCACCATCTGCTAAGAGGGAAAATCGGTTGCTGTTGTTGGGAATCCTGGTATTTTCTTTGGCTTGGATTGTACGGTTGATCTTTGGTTTGCTACCAACCGTGTTTTGCGGACTAAACTTACGCTTAATCTGGATGTAGCGATCCATACCGGTCTGTATGGCCGGAGCCGCTTGTTGCTTATCAAAGCTAACGGTTTTTGTTGCCGTTGCAGTTGGCGATGGAGCCGTTGACACCGTTTTCGCAATATTGGTCGTTGCTTTAGTTGTTGCCGTTACTTTTGCTGAGGTAGTAGAAATTGAAGCACTGTTTGTTGTCGGTGCGTCTCCCATAGAAGCCGGTGGTGGTTGCGTCTGGCCTTGATAACTCCAAGATGTAGGAGTTGGAATGAGTAGGGCTGGTGATAGAGAGCGGGCCAGTAGGTCCAGGTTGCTCTTTGTAGACGTTTTCTCTACTTCGGTATCGCGAGTTGAGAAATAAGCATAACAAGCGTTTCTTTGGTTTACGGAGCTTCTACGCTCATTATTTTGCTCGCCGCTCATTTATTTGAGCTTATCGCGCGTGGCAAAATTTGTGAAAAACTGTATTATATCACTTATATTAGTAATTAGATATAGGCAACCCACGCGTACCCTGAGCGAATTTCGCGAAATAGAAATCTGATATTTTCGATGTATTTTTAGTTACTCGGCGGAGCGATATAAAAACACGTCTGTTGTCATTGACAGTTCACTTGGTCAACGGATTGACCCCACAAAACGTCATCAGCTTGCACTTGGAGCTGTTTAAATTCAGTAAATTGTCGTGACACCAGTTGTGAATATTGTTTAGGTCTGCTTGAATGAGTGTCGGGAGTATTCATTATACTGCAGACACAGTTTTACATCGTCCGCGTACATAAGTACGCGGGAATGCGCAATGATCGATGGAAGATCATTGCTCGGTCACGCCGCAGCCTAAATCCAATCGCTAAATTCAAATCGTAACGTAATTCAAATTCTCAATGTTTGCCTTTTGTTTTGCTATTTGCCCTGCGCGGCAACACTGTTTAATTGTCATTTCTAACTACTTTTGCACTCTTTCGCTTATCGCTTCCTGGCCTTGGTCCACGGCAAGCTTCGTCAGTTCGAATTTGTACACGCTCATAGAAGGCACGGTCGCTTATCGCCTGCCTATATACTCTTCGACTATATACTCTTCGCGACGTTTAAGGCACATACAAATCGGTCTGCCTGCCCAACATATCTATATTGTAGTTCGATTTTGGTACTCGCTTACACAAGGCACGATCGCTGATCGCACAGACAAATCGGTCTGCTGCTAATATACCTTTTCGCTGCAAAAGGCACAGACAAATCGGTCTGCCTGCCCAACATACCATATCGCTGTAAAAAAGCACAGACAATTCGGTCTGCCTGCCTAACCTACTCTACAACAAACAATAACTTTATTCATTTAAAGCCTTGGTGCCAAATAATAAATAAGTGAATTTTATTAACTGAATTTTGGTGCAGATTATTTTATTTGGGCACCGTCAAGGTAATGGTTAGTGAAAAAGCTTACTGACCCAACAATAATTAATAAACAAGGTAAAAAGTAATGGTCCCAGATGGCTTCCTTGTGGTACACCCAGGGACTGTAACGGTTATAATTAAAAGAGCAAAAAATTACAAAATAAAAGTTATTTCTTAATTTTTACGTAAAAAATTGATTTTTAATACTTAAAATTAATTTTAATAATAAAAAATTAGTAATAATTATTAAGAATCAATTTTTATATAAAAATTACTCAATAACTTTTATTTTCAATTTTTATTATATAAATTGAAAAATAAAAATTATTCGATAACTTTTATTTTAAAAATTGAAAATAAAGATTGAATCTATATATCTTTTGATCCGTAGATGCCAGATCCAATATATATATATATATATGATCTACACATCAATACCTTTCAGATGGTATATAACATATATAAGTATGTATATATATATATATATATATATGTTTATCCGCTTATGTGCCAGTGTAGTATTGGCAGTATTCATAAATAGCCCAAATATTGTTGCGGCGGCTGGGAAAGACCAAGTTGCACTTCTTATCGGAAAGCGAATTCTAAAAATAGATTTTGTTTTCTTGTCCCTTTCTTATCCCTATTCGCTTCTGGTAAGCTTAAGCATTAGACAGGAATTTGGTTAAGTCAAAATGTTTAGTCTGTGCAGCTGTGTAATAAGACAATACTGCACAGGCACATAAGCGGATAAACATATATATATATATATATATATACTTATATATATTATATACCATCTGAAAGGTATTGATGTGTAGATCATATATATATATATATATTGGATCTGGCATCTACGGATCAAAAGATATATAGATTCAATCTTTATTTTCAATTTTTAAAATAAAAGTTATCGAATAATTTTTATTTTTCAATTTATATAATAAAAATTGAAAATAAAAGTTATTGAGTAATTTTTATATAAAAATTGATTCTTAATAATTATTACTAATTTTTTATTAATAAAATTAATTTTAAGTATTAAAAATCAATTTTTTTCATAAAAATTGAAAAAAAAACATTTATCTTGTTTTTGAATTCGCAATGAAAAGTTAACTTATGACAATTTTTTCCAATTTTTTTGGAGACTGTTTTGGGCTTCAATTTTTTTAAACTCATAATTATTATTTGCGGTCCCTGGGTACACCAGAGGTAACTCTGAGGAGACTACTTAAGGAATTTTTGAAAAGGACTCTTTGCGTTGGGCCACTGGAGTAGCTAAGGATCCAACTGCTGGAAACCCTATCATGTCAAGTTTGCGAATCAATAGGAAGTGATTTACAGAGTCAAATGCTTTACTGAAGTCTGTGTAAATGACATCAGTTTGAAAATTATTTTTAAAGACATTTATCACGAAGGATGTGAGCTCTAAAAGATTTGTTGTAGTAGACCTCCGCTTCATAAATCCGTGTTGGCATGGAGATATAACTGATCTACAAAGGTGCTGCAAGTGAGGAGTTATTACTCGCTCAAAAAGCTTTGGAATTGCTGACAATTTAGAAATAACTCTATAATTGCTAGCATCCGACTTGTTTCCCTTATTGCTCTTGCTCTTATGTATTTTCCAAAAACAGACTGACAACCTGAAACCTTATATTTTTTATAAAGTCTAGACTTTAAATTCCTAAGGTGTGACAACTCCTTGCTAAACCAAGGTGGTTTATTGGATGTTGATGGGATATATAGCGGAACACACGAGCTAAAAAACGATTTGATTGCCGAATAAAAAATTGTAATGGCTTCTTCCATATTATGGCAGGAGTAGAGATCGGACCAGTCATTGCCAGATATAAGATGATTAAGTCTCAGAAAGTTAGCCCTGCGAAAACAATGAGCTCGCTTGGCTGCCTTTATAGCATTATTTTTAACTGTTATACCAGTGTCGATAGTCACCTCGAAAGCAGGGTGACAGGGATTTTCAGGCAGCGTAAGTGTTGTTGCTCTAGAAAGAAAAACATTTTTAGGATTTGAGACAAGGCACAAATCAAGTAAACGATCTAAAGAATTTCGAACATGGTTTACCTGACACAGAGGTATATCAAGTAGACCGTCAATGGATTCATTGTGGCCTATAGGTTGTAAAGCATTGGAATTATCATCCGAGGACCATGTAGTTCCAGGTATATTAAAATCACCGAGAACTACTAACTGATCCATGTCGGACAAGGAACTCGAAATGGACTTTATAACAGATAGGTGCCTAAAATAGTCCTCAAGATCGGACGAAGGAGGTATGTAAGAGCAGTTAAGGGGGGGTAAGGTTTTAAAGGCCAAAAAAAGGGCCATGTTTGATTTTTTTGCGGCGAAATGAGTAAGTTTATTTTTTTGAGCTTAATTACATTTAATTGTTCAACTTTTGAAGAGTATTAGAAAAAAAAAATTATTAAAAAAAAAACGAAAAAAATTGATTTTTAATACTTAAAATTAATTTTAATAATAAAAAATTAGTAATAATTATTAAGTATCAATTTTTATATAAAAATTACGCAATAACTTTTATTTTCAATTTTTATTATATAAATTGAAAAATAAAAATTATTCAATAACTTTTATTTTAAAAATTGGAAATACAGATTGAATCTATATAGGTATATAGTCACATATCCAATTACTATTACTATTACTATAACTATATCTATTACTATTACTATTACTATTTCTATTAATATTACTATTACTATAACTATTTGTATACCCCTAATTATAACCTACATGTATAAGCTTAGCCTCAGAATAAAGATAAAACATTACAATAAAAGCTCAAAGCTGGCAGTCGTGTACAGACCGCAGAAGCAACAGCTCGTTGAAACGATTTAAACGAGATTTCTTTATTAAAATAAGTCTTCGCGGTACCTAATTAGCAATTAGGATAGTAACATCAACCACGATCTAACTGGCGACGAGGATTTAAAAACCACCGATTTTGGAATTTGAAATTTTCCAAATTACCACGTGTATTTGAGTGCACACGATATTGCGTAATGGTCTGAGACAAGCGGCTCGAAAACATTACACCAAGCTCCACATACGTCATCCTTATCAGCAAAAGACAAAGCTCTGTTTTTGCGCTCAACTTATCCACCGATTTTCGCTACGACGAGCTCTAGCAATTACCATCGTTGTCGACGTCATCATTTACGGTATCATCTATTTCGCATTATTTTGGACTTCGGAGGAGACAGCGCTGGTCAAAAAAAAAAAAAATATTCTGAGAGGAAAAGCTTCCGCCTAGGAATACTGGAGTCGTAAAATCTATCATTGTGTATTACTTTCTTTTCACGATCCAGAAGTCTTTGTTAATCTTAAGTAAGTTCTAATTTTACATTTACTAAATTTACATTTACATTTAAGTTAAAAAAAAAAAAAACTAGGCCTAAAAATGAATTCCGAAGTAACCGCATCATTTACTCTTTATTTAAATTGTATTAAAAATATCCAAGATTTTGATGGCTCAGATAAAAACCAGCTTCCCGACTTTATAAATCAAATCAACGAATTAATGCCATGTTTTCAAGTGTTCGACGAGCAATCGAGAAAAGTCCTCTTTAACTATATAAAAAATAAATGTTGTGGACTAGTAAGACCCGTTTTGCATAGGTACGGAAACGTTACGTCTTGGGAAAGACTAAAAGAAATACTAATAAAACATTTTGGGGAAAAGGAAAGTAGTGACGAATTGATGGACGCATTAAAACTATGTAGAATAGAATCCACAATAGAGCAATATTACGACAAAATAAATGAAATTGCCAATAGACTGCACAATCGAATATTAACACACTCTGACGGGACGTATACCACTCAAGAAGTAAACAGAATTTCACTTAGAGTATTTAGGGACAATCTTCCTGAACCAACGAAAACAATGATTTTTGCCAGAAACCCTCCATCATTGGACGACGCATACAAAATTATTGAAGATGCCCGCCATCAAAGTTATACCTTGTATGGACCAATTCGAAAACAATTTAGCAACAAACCCCCTTTTAGAAAATATTTCAGTAACGATAGTAACAATCAAAATGAAAGAACTCCAAATGGATACCATAATCAACCACAAATAGAGGAAAATCCTGGCAGTTTCAACAGGCAAAATACAAATAGGTATGAAAATAGAACCAGTTATAATAACAATTATGCCGCTAATCCATCTAGAAATTCTAGAATGTCCTATAACACTATCCAGCCTCAACAGGTAGCTAGCCGTAACACTCAAAATAATAATTCGGTAGGTCAAATGGACATAGGTAATATTAATACAAATTTTCAATTAGGGGACCAGCAAGACTACCCTATATAAAACTTCGATCATCTAAAAGAGACCTCCTATTCATTATCGATACTGGAGCGGAATTCAGTATCATAAATGAAAACATATGCCACCCAAAATGGAAATCAAACATCGAAGTACAAGTAAAAGCAATGGGAAATATTATTCAGATACATAAACTATGTAGGTTTCCTTCATTTATAGAATTTGGAGCAAATAATTATTCGTGTGAGTTCTTGGAATACAACTTCCACGATATATTCGATGGCATAATAGGAGGCAACATATTAAATGATTTAAACGCAATAATAAACTATTCAGAACAGACAATTACTTTGAATAACGTTAAACTAAACTTCTACACAAGGCACCCAAGTACGTTAAATAGTCCGGAAGTGAACACTAGCCATAGCGTGCCGCTAGAATATCTAAATCCTATTTATCAGAAACTACTCACTCCAATTTTAAAACGATTTGAAGGTATATTTTATAAAGAAGGAGATAATTTAACCTTTACGAGTGAAGTTAAACACAAAATTCATACAAAAAATGATATTCCTATCTATTCGAAAGCCTATAGGTATCCCGAGGCCCATAATGACGAAGTAAATAAACAAATATCCGATATGCTAAAACAAGGAATAATAAGACATTCGAATAGTCCGTACAACAGTCCCTTATGGGTTGTCCAAAAGAAATTGGATAAATCAAACCAACCGAAATGGCGACTCGTTGTCGACTACAGAAAATTAAACTCGCAAACAATTGAGGATCGTTATCCTATTCCTAATATAGATGAGATATTTCATAAGCTGGACGGATGTAAAATATTTTCTTCCTTAGACTTGGCAAAGGGTTTCTATCAAATTGAAATGAGCGAGGGCGATATCCAAAAGACGGCATTTTCAACTGCTAGCGGGCACTACGAATTTTTGCGTATGCCATTCGGTCTTCGAAATGCCCCCGCAACCTTCCAACAGCTTATGAACCATTTACTCAGAAACTATATAGACCATTTTTGTATTGTGTACATGGACGATATTCTTATATTTTCGAAAACAATCGAAGAACATATTGAGCATCTTACCAAAATATTAAATTGCTTGGAGAATGCAAACTTAAAGCTTCAAATTGACAAATGTGAGTTTGCCAAATGCGAAATAGAGTTTTTAGGGCACGTTTTGAATTCAGACGGTCTGAAACCCAGCAAAAATAAAGTTGAGGCAATCGATAGGATTAAATTGCCAACAACGCAAAAACAAATAAAAAGTTTTCTGGGCATGACTAGCTACTTAAGGCGATACATAAAAGATTACTCTAAAATTGCAAAACATTTAATAAAATACCTGAAAAAAAATTCTAAAATTAATACAAACGATTTAGAATTTATAGAGTCTTTTGAAAAGCTAAAAGTCTTAATTAAAAGCGAACCAATTGTAGCCTACCCTGACTTTCAAAAACAGTTTACACTTATTACAGACGCTAGCAACCATGCCTTGGGAGCGGTGCTAATGCAGGATACCAAAGTAATATGTTATGCCAGCCGTACTTTAAAAACCCACGAACTGAACTATAGCACGATCGAAAAGGAACTTCTAGCTATTTTCTGGGGCGTCAAATATTTTCATTACTATTTATACGGGAGAAAGTTTTTAATAAAAACCGACCACCGCCCACTAGTATGGCTAAACAACTTAAAAGAACCCAATTTAAAGCTACAGAGATGGAAAATTCAACTAAACGAATATGATTTCGATATGGCCTTCATTAAAGGAAAAGAAAATGCTCTAGCAGACGGACTAAGTAGGATATGCACTGATAATAATTTGTTAGATTGTCCCGAAGCAAATAGAAGTGATTTAATCCAGCTGAATGAAGCTTGTATATTGGTAGGCGAACTCGACAATACAATGCAAGCCGCCGAAACAATTGACGAGCTGAACAATGACTTTTCGCTAGACCTAATAAACCTTTTTTCAAATCAATCCACTAATTGTGAAACCATCCACAGTGCTCAATCCGATAACTTAAACTATATAAAAAATACAGATAACGCGTTAAACATATATAAGTCGCAAATAATACTAAAAGTATCGCAAAAGGAATCGCGAGCCACCAAAATCTTGTATAAACGAAAAATAAGACACATTATAGAAACAATAGGAAATAAGTCCACCATTTTGGAATTAATGCAGGAAATCTTACCAGATAAAGGCCTAGTAGCCATTTATTGCGAAGACGTTAATTTGTACGTCAAATTCCAGGAATGTTACAGACAATACTTTGCATGCAACGAAAATTTAAAACTAATAAGATCGTTTATTTTGCTAAAAGATGTAACAGATAAAGAACAAATTTTAAAAATAATAAATGAAGAACATTTAAAAAACAACCTTAGAGGTATTAACGAAATCTTTGCCGAAATAAAAAAAATGTATTACTATCCGAATCTTCAGAAAGAAATTCAGAAATATGTTAATAATTGTAAAATTTGTAACTTGGCCAAATATGATCGAAGCCCCCTAAAATATAAGCTAAACATAACCGATACCCCGTCGCAACACAACGAGATAATCCATCTAGATATTTGATTCCCCATGCGAAACATTATGTATCTTACTACAATAGACAAATTCACAAAATACGCTACTGCTTGTTATATTAAAGATAGATCTTGGGTTTCATTGCTAAAGGCTATACAAGAGAGAATTCAGTACTTAGGCAAGCCCAAGCTTATTATAACGGATAATGAATTTAATATAAATTGCATAAAACAATTTCTTATAGATAATAATATAGAAATCCATTTCACGACACCGTATAAAAAAACAGGGAACTCAGATGTTGAGAGACTACACTTGACATTAAATGAGCACATCCGACTTTTTAATGCAGACGAGAAAAACAATGATACGATTCAAAATAAAGTATTTAAAGCAATGGTATGCTATAATAATACTATTCACTCTATTACAAAGATGAAAATAGGGAAGATGATAATAGGGAAAATTTTGAAAATGATTATGTTAAAAATTATAAAATTGGTAAATCAAATCCTAAGTATAGTACAAAACTATCATCAAGATGGAAACTACCTAATATCAAATGAAGACGCAAACGCAAAAATATACAAAGACCAAGTCAAAAGAAAATACACATTCCAAAATTAAAATAAGTTTATAAGAGTTATACATGTAATTACAATTTATAAATTTCTACAATTAAGATTGCAGAAACTTGTCGTGGGGGAGTCACATATCCAATTACTATTACTATAACTATATCTATTACTATTACTATTACTATTTCTATTACTATTTCTATTAATATTACTATTACTATAACTATTTGTATACCCCTAATTATAACCTACATGTATAAGCTTAGCCTAAGAATAAAGATAAAACATTACAATAAAAGCTCAAAGCTGGCAGTCGTGTACAGACCGCAGAAGCAACAGCTCGTTGAAACGATTTAAACGAGATTTCTTTATTAAAATAAGTCTTCGCGGTACCTAATTAGCAATTAGGATAGTAACATCAACCACGATCTAACTATATATACATACTTATTATATACCAACTGAAAGGTATTGATGTGTAGATCATATATATACCTACATACACATTGGATCTGGCTTCTACGGATCAAAAGATATATTAGATATATATATAGATTCAATCTTTATTTTCAATTTTTAAAATAAAAGTTATCGAATAATTTTTATTTTTCAATTTATATAATAAAAATTTAAAATAAAAGTTATTGCGTAATTTTTATATAAAAATTGATACTTAATAATTATTACTAATTTTTTATTATTAAAATTAATTTTAAGTATTAAAAATAAATTTTTTCGTAAAAATTAAGAAATAACTTTTATTTTGTAATTTTTTGCTTTTTTAATTATAACCGTTACAGTCCCTGGTAAAGATAATGAATTTCCCGAGGTAATCAGGAAGAGTTTTTCTTAAATTTATTTTTTGTCTATTTTTGGAAGCGCTTCAAAGTCAAAAGTGCGATTTTAGCTTAAAAAATCGCTGTTAATTTATTTTTTAAAAATAGAAAAAAATTAAAAATTAAAAAAATCTCTTCCTGATTACCTGCTTATTTATGTTGAGAATTCGTGTTAAAAATTTGAAAAAGATCGGTTCAGTAGATTTTGAGTTCTGATGTTCACCGACTTTCAAAATAACGTATTCGGCAAAATCGATTCAAAGTATTTTTATACGTGAAAATACGTCCAAATACGGTTGTTTAAAACGCTGTAACTCCGTTAGTTTGAGTTTAATTGACTCAAAATTTGTACACAATGTTTTCGACATATTAATCATTCAGAAAAAAAATTTAAAAAAAAATGTAACAAAAAATTTTTTAAAACCTTACCCCCCCCCTTAATAAAAATTAACCTGCCAGCAACAGGCAGTTTTACGCATAAAAATTCTAACTTTAAGTTCAAAGGATCACCTGTCAAAAACTCTTCTGACGTGCTCATACACTTAGTTACGACACGGTCAAAATGGGAGGAGAATTTAGATTATACAAAATTGCCACTTTGGGATCATTGCGAAAAAAAATTGTACCTTCTTCACTGCACCCGGGAGCATAGGGCCTACAATTTTTGTAGAGGATTCATTAATCTTTGGTTTTCGATCGTACTGGTGATTAGCCAGTAGCGAATTATCCTAGGGTGGGGGTTGCCACCTGCCGCCATCTAGGAGTGACGAAAGTTCTATTATTGTGTCCAAATTTTTTACTATTGTTAAGTGAGCGATAGAGCATAGAAATGGTAGAGATCTGGAAAAAAAAACCGTTTCTGTTTCTCGGGGAGCCTGGATTCGAACCCGGGCCTTCCGGCTCGGAGACCAGCGCTCTTCCTGCTGGTCCACTGTCCCCCCCAGGCCCTTAATAAAAGGTACCAGAGCCTCTTTGCTGAAAAAAATTCTTCAGGTGGGGAGCTCCTTAAGCTCAAAAGTATGAATGGTGGAAAAACTTCGCTAACAGTGCACTATGTTAAATTTGACCCGTTTTCGTTGCCAAAATTTAAATTTTTTAAATTAATAAGATTTTTGAATGCAGGTTTCTTGTATAATGAAGATTATTACTTTTTATGTATGCGCAAGCATATATTAAATTTATTTAGTGATACTAAATAATACAATAATAGAGAATAGTAACAGGGAAAGTTGTACAGAGAATGTATATGAGTGCTGGAAGCTGATGATTTGCCGTGGCTGCAGCTCGATCTGCATCGGCTCGCGACTTAGTGAAGACTGACTACAAATGGCGAGATCACTTCGCGAGATAGTGCAGTCGCATACATAACACCCCTTAACACCCAGATGGATCGTAGAACTGCGGGCGGCGACGGTCACGGGCTGACCTGCGCGGCGGTCCCCCAGTTTCGATTAGCTCGGGCGACCGCTGTGGTCCCACTGGAGTTGTCGGTTCGCCAGCTTCCGCTTCAGTTTGGGTTGGAGGGACACGACCAGTTGGAGATGATATCTCTTCTGATGTTGGCTGCTGCGTTGGGCTGCGCATCCGCAGCTGATCCAGATGGCGCCTGACTGTTCGGTCATCCTCCAGACACACCGAATAGGAAATCGGTCCCGTTCGCTTTGAGACTTGGCCCTCAATCCACTTGGGGCCGCTTGCATAGTTTCGGACCCAAACGGGAGTGCCTGTAACAAAAGACTTTTGAGTTTGGGCCTCGCAGACCTTACCGTATGATATTTCGCCTGGACTTAATTTATCAAAGAATGTCTGGAGCTCCCTATTGAAGAGCAACTCCGCTGGCGAATGCTTCGTGACGGAATGCGGCGTAGTATGTTGATCAAACAAGAATCGAGCTAAAGCTATGTTGATGTCGGTGTGACGATCTAGTTTCTTTAAGTAACTCTTCGTGGTTTGAACCATTCGTTCGGCCTGGCCGTTGGTTGCAGGGTGGAAAGGCGCTGATCGGATGTGACGGATCCGATTGTTTTTCGTAAACAACTTAAACTCCTCGGAGGTGAACGCAGTTCCGTTGTCCGACACGATTTCATCTGGAATACCATGGGTGGCGAACAGCTGCCGAAGGAAGGTGATCGCTGCGGACGCGGATGTCGATTTCACGGGGCATACTTCAAGCCACTTCGTAAAGGAATCGACGACTAAGAAAAACGTATTCCCTTGGAAAGGTCCGGCGAAATCAATGTGTAGGCGGGACCATGGTTTCTTGGCAGACTCCCAGTGATGTACGTCCGATCTTGGCGGGGAATTGCGCGTATGCTGGCACGCTAAGCATTGACTTACCGCCTTTTCGATATCCGCATCCAAACCAGGCCACCAGACGTAACTGCGGGCTAAAGCCTTCATTCTAACGATTCCCGGGTGGTGCGCGTGTAACGCAGAGAGAATTTCCTGCCTGTCCATAAAAGGAATAACTGCGCGATTACCCCAAAACAATATTCCTTGGTTACTGGTAAGTTCATTTCGCCGAATGAAGAAGGGGTACAGGTCATCATAACGCTGAACTTTGACACTACTCCATCCCCTTAACACCCAGTTGAGTACCTTCCTGAGGCTGGAATCCTTAGACGTGTTGGTTGCTAAAGTGCTTGCGGTGACAGTGGGATTAGTTGCCCATTCAATCATTAAAACTTCTTCTGGTTGTGGCTCGGGGTGTACTTCCGCCGTTGGGCACCGACTTAGAAAATCCGCATTACTAATTTTGGTTCCCGGCTGATGAATCAAATTGAATTTATACGCTCTCAAAAAAAATGCTCGACGCATCATTGTGTTAGAAATGATTTGAGGAATTGGCTTCTCTGTTGAAAAGATTCCTAGCAGTGGCCGGTGGTCTGTAATAAGCGTGAACTTCCTTCCGTATAAATAGTTATGAAATTTTTTAACTCCAGCAACTAACGCTACAGCTTCTCTGTCGATCTGCGCGTAGTTTCTCTCCGATTTAGACAGCGTGCGTGAGTAAAACGCAATTGGCTTTTCTGTCCCGTCTTCCATTTCGTGGCTAAGTACTGCTCCTAACCCGTATGGCGACGCATCGCATGTTAAGATCAGTGGGCGGTCTGGAGAGTAGTGTATTATCAAGCTCTTAAGTTCTGCGAATGCTTTTTGGTGCACTGGACGCCATGTCCACGGTACGTTCTTGTCGAGCAGTCTATGTAATGGCTCCGCAATGGTGGCCTTCTTGGGCAAGAATGAATGATAAAAATTGGTCAGTCCCAGAAACGCTTGTAACTGTTTTTTCTCTTTTGGGGGTGGCGCCTCATGGATGGCTTTAACTTTATCAGCTGATGGCCTAATGCCGAGAGCATCAACTTTGAATCCAAGAAACTCAATGGAGGAGACTCCAAACTGACATTTCTCTTTACGCAGGCGCAATCCGGCCTGGTCCATACGGGTTAGAACTTCGTTTAACCTACTCGCAAGTTCTTCTTCTGATTTGCCCATTATTACAATATCGTCAAAATATGGAAGGACGCCCGATATGTTCTGTAGTATTCTTTCAATGCAGCTTTGGAATATTCCTGGGGCTGATGAGATTCCGAATTGTAGTCTCGTTACCTTAAATGCTCCTTTGTGAGTAGTTATTGTTTGCATTAGTGCTGTATTTTCGTCAACCACCAACTGCTGATACGCCTGTGCCAAATCTATTTTTGCGAAAATTGAGCCTCCTTCTATCGATGCCAAGAGCGTGTTGATTGCAGGAATTTGATGGCAATGCGGCTGCACCGCTCTATTAAGCGTCGATTTATAATCTCCACATATGCGAATGGAACCATCCTTCTTGACTATGGGGACCGTCGGAGTGGCCCACTCAGAGTACTCTACAGGCTCTAATATTCCTTGAGAACAGAGACGGTCTAACTCTTCTTCATATGGCTTGATGAGTGCGTAAGGAATTCGACGAGGAGGCAGTCTGACCGGCGGAACATCCTGGTCAACCTTTAGTTCCACTGGCGGCCCCGTATATCGACCAAGTTCTGATGAAAACAAATGGTCGAATTTCCTTAGAATTTCCTCGATACCGATACCGCACTGCACGCCATGAATGCCTTCTATCCGGTAATTTTTTTCCAACACAATGCTTTTATCGTCTTGGCTAGATATTCGCCATTTCTTCACATTCATTTTGTACCCAGCATGGAGTACGAATTCAAAAAACCTAATCCAACAATGTAATAGACTTAAACCGTGTTTCAGATTGTGGATAATGGGAACAAACTTCATGCACTTAAAATTTTTGTTACCAAGAAAATTCTTAGGCGTCGCAGTGCAGATTGGGCAAGCATGGTAAGATTTCGTATTTGTTAGGGCATTTAGCACTTTGCCATCAATTACAGTCAAATACAAGCTAAACCTCACATATAGACATTGCCTTTTATTGAGATTTACTTTAATATAATAGATTTTAATGCACTGATTTCCCTTTCCATATGTATGTTCTCATATTCAATAACTTTTGTGGATTCTTTAAGAAACTGCAGTTTTAAAGGTCTGCAAAACCGTTTACTTTGCTATGCTAGCCGCTTGGGTCAGTAATCTTGCGTTTTTGTCCCGCGGAGAGGTCAGCTGCTTGCCTTCTTTGAGCTCTATTACCTTTTATATTGAATGCCATTGGTCGCACTGGTCTTTTTGTTTCCTTTCCTTTGGCTTCCTCTCTAGTTAAAGTAAGGCTCATGTAACCTTTCATCCAATTCGAATATCTGTTTTTAAACGTATCCAATTTCCTAAAGCATTTTTGCCAATTCCGCCATAAATTTGCAGAAAAAGTTTTGGCCTTATCGTTTAAATAATGAACATTTTTTTCCAAAACGCTGTCATCAATATTTTTTGTTACGTATACGGCATTTCGTTTCTCGCAAAAACTCCCTTGCTTTCTCCCTAATAATTCAAAATACGCAGAGAACCGCAAAAAACGCATAATGAATTCAGAATTGATAAATCTACAATATGTATATGGACACTCACTGATACAATTTAAACCTTTTTTTAAAACCCTTTGGAAAGTTCAATATTCTTTCCAAAAGTGACTAGGGGACAACACTTGCTAAATATACAATTTGTTAGAAAAATACGAACAAAACACGCAACATATTAGTATCAACACATAGTAGGGGAGAGTGGTCCCATACCGACCGGTCGTACCATACCGACCCCCCCATGTTTCTCAGAGATGGCGATGCTAGCCGAATTGTCGGTAACTTCAGTGAAAAGCTGTTATAACACAGACATTTTGGAGATAGATAGCCAATTTGACTTCTTTTGTTTCACTGCAATTTTTCCGTTTGTTTTGTTTCAACGCCTGTGACATTCAGTTTTTTTTCTTTACTGAACTTGAGCTTAAATATTTTTAAAGTTTTTTTTCTCCGCATAAAAATCGGAGGGTAAGGTTTTCTGATAGTTGATAGTCCTAGCTGTCATTCACGCTATTAGAATTACATCGCTCTTTGCGTCATTAGATAATGGCGAGCAGTTAATTAGAAAAGGTTGTGGTGGTCCGAAACCGACCGCGAAGTGATGGTCCGAAACCGACCCCCATTTATTGGCAGCTTAATATGTCATAGCGTATTTTTGAGGGAAAATATGAAAAAGTAAACAAGATTCAGTAAAGAAAAGTAACAGAAACATCAAAAACATCAGAAGAAAGCGAAGAGACAGTCATCAACGAGCGGCTTTCGAAAAACAACGCGAAAACAACGCGAAAACTTACTATGAGAAAGAGGACAACTCAGACTTCATCAATTGACTACAGTGCCCTTTATTTCATACATTAATTTTTATTTTCTGGAAAGAACCTTCAATATATTTCTTTATAAACGTCAAAATCATTAAATTTTATTTTATGTTATTAAATTTTTCTGTTAAGAAATAGGGGGTCGGTTTCGGACCACTACTTTTGAGTACGACCAAAAAGTGGAGTTTTATATTTGCCTGAATACTAACTAACTAACTAACTAACTAATCAATTAGATGTATAGTAAACTGATCCCTCTACATAGTCAATTTTTGAACTGAACTGAAAAATTGTTTTTTCTCCCCTTTATCGCCTTTGCCATTTAGGGGGTCGGTATCGCACCACCCTCCCCTACTAACCTGAAGATTTAATATTCATTTTGAATTTTCTTATTTAATGATTTTTTTTAGAGATATGCCAATTTGAAATTGCACCGAAATTTTTTTTGTAAAAGACCAATATGTTGAGAACATAGTGTAAAAATTTTGAGTCAATTAAAGTCAAATTAACGGAGTTACAGCGTTTTAAACTACCGTATTTGGACGTATTTTCACGTATAAAAATACTTTGAATCGATTTTGCCGAAGACGTTATTTTGAAAGTCGGTAAACATCAGAACTCAAAATCTACTGAACCGATCCTTTTCAAATTTTTAACACAAATTCTCAACATAAATACGAAGGTAATCAGGAAGTTTTTTTTAATTTTTAATTTTTTTTCTATTTTTAAAAAATAAATTAACATCGATTTTTTTAGCAAAAATCGCACTTTTCACTTTCAAATGCTCCCAAAAATAGACAAAAAATAAATTTAAAAAATTATTTCTAATTACCTCGAGAAATTAATTATTTTTATAGCGCAAATAACTTTTTTTTCAGATGATCCGTTAACGAGTTATGATGTTCACCGCAAAACAACTTTTTCTTTAGGCGCTTCGGAAGATTAACCGCCACAGGCTTATTTCAAAATATTTTTTATTAATTTTTTTTCTAATACTCTTCGTGGTGTCCGCTTGCAAAAGCTGACTTTAACAGCTTTTATTTTAAGGAAATTTTTTTTAAGGAATTTTTTTTTAATTTTTTTCTGAATGACCAATATGTCGAGAGCATTGTGTATTTTAAGTCAATTAAAGTCAAACTAACGGAGTTACAGCGTTTTAAACAACCGTATTTGGACGTATTTTCACGTATAAAAATACTTTGAATTGATTTTGCCGAAGACGTTATTTTAAAAGTCGGTGAACATCAGAACTCAAAATCTACTGAACCGATCCTTTTCAAATTTTTAACACAAATTCTCAACATAAATACGCAGGTAATCAGGAAGAGTTTTTTTAATTTTTAATTTTTTTTCTATTTTTAAAAAATAAATTAACAGCGATTTTTTATGCTAAAATCGCACTTTTCACTTTCAAATGCTCCCAAAAATAGACAAAAAATATATTTAAAAAAAAACTCTTCCTGATTACCTCGGGAAATTCATTATCTTTACAATGCATATCACATTTTATTTTTAAGATGATCCGTTAACGCCCTATGATGTTCACCGCAAAACAACTTTTTCTTTGGTCGCTTCGGAAGATTAACCGCCACAGGCTTATTTCTTAATATTTTGTTTTCTAATACTCTTCAAAAGTTAAACAATAACATGTAATCAAGCCCAATAAAATAAACTTACTCATTTTGCCGCAAAAAAAAATCAAACATGGCCCTTTTTTTGGCCTTTAAAACCTTACCCCCCCTTAACACTAAACTGTTAAGTTAACATTTTAGGTATACAATATAGCAATTTGATCATTTCTCAACATAACATTAAAAAAAACGAAAATTTGTATACTCGCGAAAAATGAGTTTTGGCCACGAAAACGGGTCAAAACATAGTGCAGTGGCTAAACCAAATGAACAGAATAATCCAAAATGCTCGTTTTGCAAATCGGATGACCACGTTATTCAATCTTGTTCCTCTTTTGCTGCTATCCCCTGCAATAATCATTTTAAGTTTGTCAAATCATTTCCTCTGTATATAAAGCCTTCGAAAAGGTCACACAGTTACTACCTGCAAGTCGAGCACTTGCAGAGTCTGTTCACAACCGCATTATACTTCACTGCATAGGTATGCAACAGAATCTCGAACGGTATCCACTAGACAAACTCCACCAGCACAAACTTCGACATCTAGTCAATTATCATCCGCCAATCTCGCTGCTAGTGATTTTGGCCAAGTCGTACTAGCTACAGCAATAGTAAAAATAAAGGATCAGCTGGGATCAATTGTTGAATTATTACTCTTAAACTAAATATTACGCACGTTAATGGTCGCGATCACTGGAATTCTCTATTGTTACACTTATTGAAACTTGCATGCTTATACATACACGCGCAATTATGCCAGCGCATTAGCTTAAGAACAAACCATTTGATTTTATAAAGATCACTTGAGATGAGAACTGAACCAAAGCGCACGTACTTACGTCTGTCCCGTCTGTCTACGCGAGTCAGTCCACTTACAATTTTATTAATTTTGGAACCGAAGTTGCTTGTGGCACAGGGCCACTTTAGAAGAAGGTACCCTTTTTAGACCTCCATACACATCAAAAGATTGTTTTTTTTTTTTTTTTTGTAAATTATGCTATACATGCTTTCTTTAATTTTTAATTATTTATAATAAGGACAAATATTTTATTCCGATCCATCGTCGTCAAGCCCAGAATATTTATTAGTAGACTGAAAAACCTAAAAAAAAACGAATTTAATACAGATTATAGAATTATATTAAATGTTGGGTTTTAAATTTTATAGAAAAAAGAAAGAAAGCCATAATCAGCAAGCCAGGGCACATATACATATACGCTTATACGTTAAATAAGCGTTAAAAAATCTGACCCAATCCCAATAGTTAAATTATAAATTTTTTAAATCATTTGCTCTAATTTTTTGATGCTCAAATCCATAAAGTGAGATTGCATTTCAAGAATGTTTTAAAAACGGCAACTAATTTCGGCCAGGTGAAGCTTATTTACCCTTGCAATTATAACTTAAATGTAACAAAATGTTTTCATACCTCTCTAGTTTTGTCAATTTTTCATTTTTTTTTTCATATCTATGGCAGACTTATAATATTTAAGACCGATCTTTATAAAAATAAGTTTTCAATGTATACTATCGCCTATCAACACCGAAGTTATAAAAATTGGTTAATGAAATTTAAATAAGTTCTCAGTTGTTCCTATGATATATGTTAATGAAATTTAATTTAAATTCAACTGCCAAAAATTTAGGCTTTGTTTACAGTTATTTTAATCACTTTTGTTACATTTTCAGTATGATTGCTTACTGAATAGAAACTGACAGACTTTCAGTCGGACCCGTTTAAATCAATTTCGATACTGATCAAGAATATGTGAACAGTGGGCTGCTTACCAAAAAAAAATTAACACTTTTTACTTACTGGTTCATTTTGGGGAATATTCTTCGGCAGTGAACGGTCATTACGTTTGTAATCCTCTTGAATCTTGCTCCCTCCGTTCGTATTCGCTTTTTCTTTTAACTTCTCTAGTCTAAAAGAAAATGTAAGACGATTACTATATAAATCGGTAAATTCATTTTTAAGTATTTTAAAATTCAGCACATATTAGGAATTAGAGAAATTGTGGTTTGGATATGCACGTTAGTTGAGAAAGTATAGGGTGTTTTTTTTAGAGGTATAGAACTTTAAGTTGCAATAAAACCACGATGGATTATTCGATTGACATGAATTTTTTTTTATTCGAAAGATAATCTTGTGGCAATTCATTTTATATATGCTTTCTGGCATATGACCGCCACGGCTGGCTCAGATGTAGTCCAATCTGGGACCAATTTTCGATGACTTGTCCCAACATTTGCGGCCGTATATCGGCAATAACACGGCGAATGTTGTCTTCCAAATGGTCAAGCGTTTGTGGCTTATCCGCATAGACTTTTAGACTAAATGACTTTACATAGCCCCACAGAAAGTAGTCTAGCGGTGTTAAATCACAAGATCTTGGAGGCCAATTCACAGGTCCAAAACGTGAAATTAGGCGGTCACCAAACGTGTCTTTCAATAAATCGATCGACATCCGAGCCAGCCGTGGCGGTCATATGCCAGAAATCATATATAAAATGAATTGCCACAAGATTATCCTTCGAATAAAAAAAAATGCATGTCAATCGAATAATCCATCGTGGTTTTATTGCAACTTAAAGTTCTATACCTCTAAAAAAAACACCCGATACTTGTGTTTTTCTTTAGTGCAACTTCACCGAAAATGGAGAATGTTCCCGAATTATTAACGCGCTAGTACCATACGAGTTTTCCCGCGGTAGGTACATGATACAGTTGTCCGACTTTTATGAAATTTGTTTCTTGATTCAAAGTTAGTTAAAAATTAGAAAGTTTGATCTTTCCTATTGTAGCTAAATGATATATTGATCCGATTTTGATCAAATTTAAATACCTTTTAAAACTCCATTTGAAAGAAATCAAGTCGATATGAGCAAAAACCAGCGTTTGCATTTGCTGCTACATAACAGCAATTTAAGTAAAAATATTGCTCTGCTCCCGCTATTGCTCTGTTTTCAATCGGCTCTGTAGCATAGCAGAGAGCACAAAATCAAAACGGCTGTTCTCTGCTCTGCTTTGTAGCACTGAACGTCGGAGCACGGAGCAATAGCAATAGCAAGAAAATAATAAATAATAAATCATTTTCTTTTAAACCTGATTTAAATGGTTGGGTTTGAAAACCTTAAAGGGTGTATGGCTTAGAACCAATATATTGCAAATTGGCTTTCTAATTTATTATATATTTTTAACGACCTTGATTACATAAACAAAGGTTGTGATTTTGGTGTCTTTTCTCGCTTCGGCGAGTCGGAGCTTATATACCCCAGTAGTTATCACAAATGTCGAGCAAAAGGCATAAAGGCTAAATAACTAGCTATGAAGATTTTCCCATTAATTTTCAATACTTTCACCGATTGTTCAATTTTAATGAAACTTAGTTCGAAATTCGAAAACGGCTAGAAAACTTGATACGCAAAAAATCATGCTTGTCTGAAAAAAAGATATTATTATTTTATTCTATTACTTTTATATAGATTTTTCGATCTTCCCTATGACAGTTATATGGTATAAAAGTAGGATTTTTGAAGTTTATAGTAGTTGAAAAACCTGAAATTCCAAAATTTCAATTCCAAACCCAAATTCAAAAATTCCAATTTTAACAACAACGTTATAGTTTCTGTTGCATTAATTGTATATTTTTTTTTTTGATTTTCCTATAGCAGCTATACAAATAAAATCTGGAAGAAACCATGCCAATTTGGTACTTGATATTTTTTTCGTTATCTTTTTAAACTTCCCTTTGGGAGCCAGCTATCCGATATAGTGGCCCGATCCAACCCTTCCCGGCTTATGTACTTCATGCAATAACTACACGTAACTACTTAATAACTGGTAAAGTTTCATCGAGGTAGCTTAAAAACTGAGAGGCTAGTATCCTCGCTTGGCTGTAATACCGATAAACTAGATAAAAATTGTATTTACAAACTGTAGAGACTGGAAAGATGACAAGCCGGACAAACTAGATCCTAGTTATACCATACCGTCCTTTTAGAAAAAAATACATAGGTACGCCCAAAATATACGATTAAATTTCTATCTGTACCTGTCAATTCGCTCTCGGGGATGATTATATTTCTGAGTCACTTCTTCGTGGTGCTTTTCATCTGTAAAACAATGTAGTTAAAAAAGGCAATATAGTTAAAAAGTATAAGGAAAAACGTGCAACAGCGTTATTAATTTTAATTGTGAACGTTTAGGAACGAAACTACAAAATTATAATACTAAAATATGAGAAGTAAGAAGAGGTCGAGATATTTTTGTTTTTGTGATTCTTTTTACATACTAGATATTATACACAAAACAAGAAATAAAGCTAGCTTCAGCAAGCTGATGCTTATATACCCTTCCAGTCATCAAATATTTCGAACAAAATGCATAAAGGCTAAACAACATCGAAGCTATGACGATTTTTCTATTAATTTTCCATATTTTCGACTATTGATCATATAGCAGTTATATGATAAGTTGTCCGATTTTGATCAAATTTAATTCGTAATTCAAGAGTCGTTAGAAAACGATATATTTCAAAAATCATGCTTATATAGTGAAAAACAACGATGTTATAAATTTATTTCCGTTATTTCTATATAGATTCCTGTTCCTGTTCCTCGAGAACTAGTGGGATGTTCAAGAGGGGGCTTAGCTGGGGCCACCATTCGGGTCGCAGGTTGCAGGTTAGTTGCGAATAAGCGCAAGCTAATAAGCAACTCCGGACAAACAGCAGGTACACCGGAGTCGGTGTACTGATGAGACGTTTGTCTGGCCGTCTTCAAAAGTATAGCCTCACACATTCCTCTTCCCTCACGACTACCTACCAACTCCCCTCCCCACACAATCTCACTCCGGTGCCGGACTAAGGTGTCATCCGACCCGTGCCGATAGTCAGCCTGGCTGGGGGCCCGGATTATCAAATAGCCCAGTCTCTCACGGAGGGGCACCTCTAACCGCCTGTCCTAACCATGCCTTACCCGGGTATGGCGGATCTCTGCCCGGGTGAACTATACTTTTTCCGCAACTCGTGGGATTCGAACATGAAAAAGTTTACGAAAACCAAATTACCGCAGGATATCCCTGCCTCAAGTGCCGCAAGGCTTTTTGAAGAAAGACTACTTGACGGAGTGCGACCCCAGGTGGGACCAGCCCCACCCAGGAGCGCAGCTTCCATCAGGAGTGCGTCACGGACGCAGAATGTGGGACAGCCCCCACAGCGATCGACTGTTCCAGTTCGGGAACGTGGGCTACCGGCAGGACCATCCCGGCCGGCTTGCCCACCCCCCGCGGCTGTACAGAAGACCAAGGAAGATGTCCTTCCAGCCAGAGGACAACCAGGAGGCCTTGGCGACCCCAACAGGAGAGGCCTGTCGGGGTCCAAGGTCAAATGGAACTTCAGGTACCTTCAGCAGGGCACGACACCTAATGAAGCATTGAAGAAGGCGAAGGAACCACGACCAGTGGCACAAAACGTTGCCCCTGCCAGCAAGCGGGCAAACAGTACCCTCACCCCTCCGATGGACACCCCGAAAAGGTACAAGTCAGAGGGCACCAAAGAGGCAGCGGCACCCCCCCACCCGTCCCCCATGGCCTGATGAGCCAAGCACATCGAAGGCGGCGGCGACGTGACTCGGAATGAATCTATGTGCATAAAAAAATCTTATAATCAACGCACAATGCAAACCAGTAAGGCTACGACACTCAACTTGGTTATTATCATTCCTTATTTAACTTTAATGATCCACTATTATTTTGGCCCGTAAGTGGCCAAAAATTTTTGAATATTAAACGTCACACGAAATTTTAAATTTTTTTGTTTTCGTTTAAATTTACATTTTTACATCTAAAGAAAAAAAAATCACTTTAAATAAGCAATTGGAGTTAAAACAAACCTATGCCTATGTATTTACCATCTCAAACTTGTTCTTAACAAAAAAAAAGGCTAGCTTCGGCAAGCAGTCATAAAATATTTTGAACAAAATATTGTACATAAAGGCTAAACAACATATAAGCTATGACGATTCTTCTATTCACTTTCCATATTGTTCATATGACAGCTATATGATATAGTCGTCCGATTTTGATAAAAATATTTCGTTATTCAAGAGTCGTTTGAAAAATCTATATTCCAAAAATCTGATGAAAAACAACTGTTATCATTTGATTTCCGTTATTTCTCTATAGATATTATAGCTATATAATATAATCGTCCGATTTTTATAAAAGGAGAGTTCAAGGGTAATTAAAAAGTCGATGCTGTAAAAATCATGCTCGTGGAATAAAAAACGTTAATTTTTTTTTTTTCATTACGGACAAATGAGAGACTTATTTCGATCCAGATGGTGATGCTGATCAAGAATATATGTACTTTATGGGGTCTGAGGTGTCTCCTTCACTGCGTTGCAAATATCTGACTGAAATTATAATACCCTTTTGCTCTGCAAGGGTATAACAAGAAAGGAAGCTAGCTTCGGCAAACCGAAGCTTATATACCCTTGCAGTCATCAAATATGTCAAACCAAATACATAGTTAGCCTCTATGTTTCTACATCCAAGCTATATCGATTTTTCTATGAAGTTTCTGTATTTTCGACGGTTGTTTATATGAAAGCTATATGATATAGTCGTCCGATTTTTATGAATTTTAATTCGAATTTCAAGAGACATTAAGAAAACTCTATATTCCAAAAATGCTTGTCTGATGAAAAGCAACGATGTTACAATTTTATTTCCGTTATTTCTATATAGATTTTTTGATCTTTCCTATGGTAACTATGTGATAGAGTTATCCAATTTTTATCAATTTAATTCGAAATTCTATGGTAGTTAAAAACAACGTATGGAAGAATCCAAGTCAATATGATCAAAAAGAAGGGAGTAATAATTTTTTTCAATCTCTCGTATAGGAGCTATTCGATATCGTCGCCTGATCCGGCTCGTTCCGACTTAAATGCTGCGTGCAATAACTATATATCTTTTGGGAAAGTCTCAGCAAGATAGCTTTTAAACTGAGGGACTAGTTTACAGAGAAATGGACAGACGTACAGACGTATTTCGATTCAGATCGTGATGCTGATCAAGAATATATATACTTTAAGTGGTCTGAGGTGTATCCTTCTTCTAACTAAAATGATAATTACCTTTGCTCTGCAAGGGTATAAAAATGCTAAATGAGTAGGTAGGACAAGTTGTTTATATGGGTAAGGTATTTCAATTTAAATTTAAAAACATGAATGTACAAAGTTTATAAAAATAACAGTTACCTTGAGACATGTTAGCTTTTTCGTCTTCCCTTTTATCGTTTTGACTTCGACGCCAAGTAGCCGTTGAATTCAAACTTTCATTATCATTTTTATCAATTTGGACTTCAGTAAGCTTGTCACTTATAAACTCCTCACTTTGACGACTCTTATCCTGTTTTCGAGCTAAAGCCAAGCGTTCCTCAATCTCCAATTCTCTAGCTGCTGTGTCAACTGGTTTTGCAGAGCCAAATACATTTACAGATGATGCTACACTTTGTTTAGCCGAGTTGCCCTCGTCGAAATCGATTTTGTCAAAATCATTTTTTTTTAAATCGGGTAATGGTAGAGTTCGTGGTTTTAAATTTAACTTGGGTCTCTCTTCTATCAAGGAGGTATCTTCACGTGAATACCGCTCTGGATTTCTGCCTCGACCGTCACGATATTTTTCAGATACGTTGTTAACATCTCGCCGAGTGGGCGAGGAATCAAAAGATTGAGGTCTGGCGCTCGTTCGCCAAGATCCAGGTGTGTTAGTTTCTTCTCTTTCTGGTAGCGGTTTCCTTTCTCTATTAAAGCTTCTGTCAAAATTGGATGAATATCCAAAACTACTTCCATTATTTTGGCTATCTCGCCTCCAGTTACCAGAGTCTCTATTATCTCCACTATTGCCAAAGCCATCAAACCGCCTGTTAGATTTTTGTCGGTTTTGTTGGTCATTTTCGTTGGATAGCTCAATGCGAATACGGCGACCTTTAATTGATGGATCTGGTAAACTGAGTATATGAATTAAATCTTCTCGATTTTCTAATTCCACATAGCCAAAGCCCCTTGAACGACCGTTTTCGCCATCCTCACGTGGCAGTCTCAGAGAAATTAAATTAATACAACCGAAAAATTCGTAAAGGTCATCCTCATTTGCATCAAACGGCAAGTTGTTGATGTAAGCAATAAATGGGGCTTTATGAGGAACAGAATTGTCATCAAAAATCCGATTTGCCCGTGGTGCGGTTGGAAGCTGATATACTAAGGGCAATGTGCTACTTCCATCATCACTATCATCGCCATCCAAATTTCGGATTTTTTTTGAGACTTGTGTGGTTCCCACTGGTGCATCATTAGATAGGAACGATTGCAAAGATATAACTGTTCCTTTATTCTTTTTACCTTTTTTTCCTTTGAAGTATATAAAATATAAAAGTTTGTATAAGTAACGTGTTATTAACTTTGTCGTAATTTACAAGTAGATGTTATTATTAATATCACTCAAAGAGTTACGGCAATACTAACGTTAAAAAAGGCGTTTTCTTAAAGATATTTTATCTATTTAACACAAAACAAAAATGTAGGTACGCATGAAAAAATCACAACCACCCCATATGTATGTATGCATACACATGTGCAATCATATTACGTGTCAAAAATAAAACCATGTGGAAACTTATACTTATTTTCAATTAACACAAAAATAGTATTTTTACCAATTATTAGTAAATCATAATGATTGACAAGATTAAATGTATTTCTAACCTGCAGAAGCCATTTTAACAAATATTTCCAAACTAACTAAAATTTTGAGAATTCTACGAATGCATGTAAACCTAGAGGTCAACTTCCTTATATCGATATCGTAATCGAAAGTTGTTATAGTATAATTAAGAATTCAGTAATAGAGTAATCTCACAAAACCAATTCGAAAGGAATGATTGAAAGATGTGAAACTTCGATTTACACAGTGTAATATCCTCCACACATTAGCATGAATGATCCGCTTACCAATAAACTCCCGTCTGTGTCGTGGGCAATACAGTAGAATCAGCTTATAGTGACTTTCAAGGGACCGACGATTTTACGTCGTTATACCCGGAAGACACACTTACCAAAAGGAGTAAAAAAATTTTGTTTTGGTTATCTTAGTGTAAAAACCTTAGTGGCGACGAAAGCGGCAAAAAAAAAACGTACCAAGCGGTGGCCCTTTCATATAAGTTTGTATGGGGACCAAGCAAGCCATCGAGTTTTCGTCGCAAATCCGGACGGACACTATAAGCAGAGTCGTTATAACAAGGATTCAACTGTATATACAACTGTATTATTAAATTAAACATCGTTCAAAATGAATCTCCTCACCATTATTAATGTTTCATTAAATTATGATGTTGCTTTTATTTTAGAAGTAAATTTCAGTAGAATCCTGTTATAACGACTCCACTTATAGTGTCCGTCCAGGTTTTGCCACGAAACTTACAAACTTATATGAAAGGGCCTCAGCTTAGTGCGTTTCCGCTTTTAGCGACAAACAGCTTATTCGAAATTTTTCAAAAAAAATTTAAAAATTCATCCGGATATTGCGTCATGCGGAAAAAATACAGTGCAATAGTGCCAAATTTAAGCATCAAAACACGCTGTCAGAAATATACTTATACTTATATTATACTTACATTTGTACTTGCTTGTATGCGTAGCAGCGACACGAAGGATCTTACACTGTCACCACTCTCTGTTAGTTTTAGCTGTCGCCTTAACAACACTGCTGCGAGAGAGAGTGAGAGTAGAAGTGCAATGCCAACGTCACACTGCATGTCCAGACCTCATAGCCTAAACCATGAGATGTCCCGTTGTATTTCTAGTTTTTTCCGTTTTTTTCGACTAAAAATGAATGGGTAAATTCTGCAAATGCAAAGTGGGCAGTAATAAGCTCAGTCAGTTTTCAGTATTTTGAAATTAAATGAATTGAATTTGAATTAAATTTATTACATTTTTCGTTTTAATTAAAAAAATAATTTGATTTATTTTAAAAACTTATTATGAACATAGCAACCATAAAATAAACATAAAAAATTGTTTGCTCCTTTTGTCTGGTGCGTCTTCCGGGTATAACGACGAAAACTCGTCGGACCCGTGAAAGTCACTATAACCGGATTCTACTGTCCTTATATGTATTTTAATATTTCAAATTGTATACAATTTTATAAAGTGTAAAAATTGGTTGTGTCCACTACCGGGTGGCTCAATTTATTATCTAGCATCAAAAGCTTACACAAAAGCTAAACAAATTTTAAGAAACAAGAAAGGAAGCTAGCTTTGGCCAGCCGAAGCTTATACACCCTTGCAGTCATCAAATACATATGTCGATCAAAAGCATAAGGGCTAAAACACATCGTAACTATGTACATATGACGATTTTTCTATTAATTTTCCATATTTTCGATTATTGTTCATATGGCAGCTATATGATATAGTTGTCCGATTTTGATGAAATGTATCCTAAATTCAATAGTGGTTAGAAAATACCATTTAGAAGAAATCAAGTCGATCTGATCAAAAACAACGGCGTGGGAATTTGTTACTTCATTCTTTCGTATGGGAGCTATCCGATATAGTCGGCCAATCCGGCCCGTTCCGACTTAGATTAGGTTGTCAAAAAAGTCTTGCGGTATTTTTTTTTATCGAATTTTCATAAAATTGGTTAATGCGATTCAAGTCAAATATGCGCCGTTTTGTTCGATGACGCGTTCCCAACGAGATGCCAACCAGTGCGCTGCCAGGTTCATGGTTCAAGAAATACGTACGGAGGGAGAAAAGTAAAGTGAAAATACGTACAAATACGTACCCAAGATGATGCTAATACTCAATGTGTAAGACAAGGACAGACACGCTGTCAGTTCTCATCTTTTATTAATCCGGGTTTTAGATACGTTAATTATGATGGTAAACAACAATGAAAAGGCAAAACATCTGTTTTACTGGTTGGTTTGGTTACTTTTAATTATGGCGAGCACTGAACGGGCAGTATGGGCCTGATATGGGCTAACTTCAACCATGCTACTGTACGATACTGTATACAGTATCGTTTTGATGTGTGCCACATGTATGCGTACATATATAAGCACATACTGCGTGAACAAGGCATAATCAAGATCTCTCCACCGATGCTAGGGAATTTTATTCTCGAAGGCTATATATATTACAGCGCGCGCAAACCAAATAATAAAGAATTGAAAGAAAATTAAATGGACAATACCGACTCGGGATTCCCGAGAAAAGAGTGTTTAATTATTCATTTTTCTCCGAAAACGCATTAATACGTACGAATATACGTACATAGTCGGCCTGAGCCGAAAAATACGTACAATGCGTATAAATACGTTCCCTATTGGCAAAAAACTCGGAGAGCCAATTTTTACAGGACTCTTTGTGGCCAAGTTCAGATTACCAAGACAGAAACAGGTGGTAATCACTTGGTGCGAGATCCGGACTATACGGTGGAGGCAAAAGAACCTCCCATCCGAGCTCGCGGAGCTTCTGGCGCGTCACTAAAGATGTGTGTGGTCTGGCGTTGTCCTGGTGGAAGACAATTCGGCCTCTGTTGATCAAAGATGGCCTCTTCTGCATGAGTGCTGTCTTCAAGCGGTCCAGTTGTTGGCAGTACAGGTCCGAATTGAGCGTTTGGCCATAGGAGAGCAGCTCATAGTGGAATATTCCCTGCCAATCCCACCAAACACACAGAAGAACCTTCCTGGCCGTCAATCCAGGCTTGGCCACCGTCTGGGCCGCTTCACCGCCTTTCGACCACGACCGTTTGCGCCTTACGTTATCGTAAGTGACCCACTTTTCATCGCCAGTCACCATACTCTTCAAAAACGGGTCGATTTTGTTGCGATTTAGAAGCGATTCGCATGCGTCGATATGGTTAAAGATGTTTTTCGCGTCAATGTGGCACCCATACTCGAGCTTCTTAGTGACTCCAAGCTTCTTTAAATGGTAAATAACGGTTTGATGACTCATGCCCAGCTCTTGACCGATGCTACGGCTGCTACTATGCCGGTCTCTTCCGACCAATTCAGCGATTTTATCCCAATTTTCGACGACAGGCCTTCCGGAGCGTATCTTCGACCACCTCTACACCAGAACGAAAACGTTGAAACCATCGTTGTGCGGTGGAAATGGAAACTGTATCGGGTCCATAAACTGCACAAATTTTATTGGCGGCTTGAGATGCATTTTTGCCTTTATTGTAGTTGTTCTGTAAAATATGCCGTATGTTGGGTCAGTAAGCTTTTTTACTAACCATTACCTTTGGCGGTGCCCAAGTAAAAAAAACCGCACGAATTTCGAACTAAATTGCACTATTTATTAACTGGTACCAAGGCCTCAAATTTACAAAGTTAGTGTTTATGTAGGTTTGAATTAGGCAGGCAGACCGATTTGTCTGTGCCTTTTAAATAGCCGAAAGTATGATGGGCAGGCAGACCGATTTGTCTGTGCCGTTTTAGTCGCGAAAGTATATAAGGTCGAGAGACGTAGGCAAGCGATCAGCGACCGTGCCTTCTATATGCGAGTACCAAATCGAACTAACTATGAAGCTTGCCGTGGACAAGGCCAGGAAGCGATAAGCGAAAAAGTGCAAAAAGGGGGTTAGAAATGACAATTAAACCAGTGTTGCCGCGCAGGGCAAATAACACAACAAATGCAAACATCGGGAATTTGGTTTTACGTTACGATTTGAAATGAGTGATATTATTTAGGCTGTGGCATGACCAAACATCCTCCCCCCGTTGAAAGACCAGGGCTTTCAACCAGATCCAGCTTCGGCAGCACGCACAACTTGCGGACAGCCCTTCGAGTGACATCTACTTGAGTTCGTATCACTGCCACACGAGCAACTCCATCGGATCCAGACACCAATTCCATGACCCTGGGTAATGGCCATTTCAATGGAGGCAAAGTGGAGACGACCTCGTTGACTTGTAGCGCAGGTTTGGGAGTGCGCCACTTTGGACGATGCTGCCAACGTTGAAGACGCATGTAAGCGAGCAGCGCTCGCGGACCAGAATGCAAGCTCTTCCGATGCAAGTCCAGTGTAATGGCACGTATAACTAGATGCTGGCGTGGCAGTATGACAGGACGCTGCGCATTGCGATTCTCGAGACGAAACGCTGGGCTGGTGAACCAAAGGGCAGGTTCCAGAAGCTCACTCGAGGAAGAACCTCTTGACAAAATGTCGGCTGGATTGCAGTCAGTCGGTACATAGCGCCAATTCTTGGCACTGGATAACTCTTTAATTGAAGATATTGGATTAGTAACATATACTTGAAAGCGTGAATGTTCATAGCTTATCGATGATAAAGCTTCAGCAGAAACGAAGAGCTTCATGTTGCGTACGTCCCGCATCAGTTGCGCTAGTAGCAAGGCAGCGCAGAACTCCAATTTGGAAACCGTAAGAGTCTTCAAAGGTGCCACACGAGACTTTGATTAAAGTAGATGCACCTCTTGTTTGCCATCAGCATCTGGATTCAACGCAGGTCGAAGAAACGTCCATGTCAGATGACAACTTCAGCCGTGATGTGTTGAGTCCCTCGGGAAAGCTCTCATCGTAAACCCGAGCAGTTGTGGATAACACCAGTCGTGTATATGGCTTTGAAGAGACCTGTGTGGAAGACAAAGAAAAACGAAAAACATCCGCTGCAGGCTTCCAGGCAAGACCCAGTGTCTTGGTAATGTCGCTGCCATCGTCAAGCTTCAGGAGTGTTTCCTTTTCCGAGTCAGCAATTTGATCAAGGACGTCGCGGTCGTTGGAAAACCATTTCCTGAATTTAAAGCCGCCTCGTGAAAT